TAATACATCTAAACATAATTGCGCACTGATCCACGTATCCGTGTTTTCCCCTCCTTTTATTTTATCCTCCGTCGTGGATATTAAAACAAACATCCACTAACTAGCGAATAAAACAAAATATAGAGGTCACATCATCCAATGACGATCGTCACTGGATTTCTCCTTAAAGTGTAAACAAGTTATGCACATTATGAAAAATCATTCGTCGTCGTTTTGTAGGGCTTAGTTAGAACTATATATGGAGAAAAAATCACGCCGGTGTCTATCTTCAATATTGAGATCCATGGGAGACTATTAACAGAATCCTACGTGAAAAAGACTATGATATGTTTTAGTGCTCCTATGCGCACCCGTTTCTCAAGCTTTTCTGAAGCAAGTTTTTTTTATGGTTTTGTTCAGCATTTAGTGCCGCATTCAGTGATATATAATTGGGTTATCAATAATAACTTTTAAGTGCACTATATAGTCAAGTTATCCCGTATATAGCTCTTGTATAAGCCGTATAAGAGATATCACCTGGCTCGCAGGAAAAAAGTGGAAGATTCGCAGAAATTTTTATTGATTCGTCGTTTTGTATTAATTTCTTTTCGAACTATGTATAGTTAATAGGGGTTTCACTATGGTTTCCAAATAGGGCCGTTTTTGCTAGCATATCCACCCCCGTCCTTTTATTGAATAATAAGTTGCTTCTCCGTTTTGCTTTGAACATATTGACATGATCAGTTACATATATATATATATATTATTTTAAATAGTTTTTTAATCAAATCTGAGTTATACGTATGAGAGAATATTTCTCAGTATCGTATTACTTGGATGTTCCCAGATCGAAGAGTACGGACCGGTTTCCACAGGAAAACACCGGAAATCATCTAGAAAATGTTCGAAAAATATCCGGCTCTTTCCTGCAGTATCTGGCAGCCGGAACGATCAACCTGGGTTAAAATTACATGTTGATTGATCGGCATTTCTTGGTCAGAAATTGAGGAGAACAATTACACTGACTTCCTTAGAAGATTTTAACAAGAATAGTTTATTATGAAGACTTTCGATCATTTCGTTTTTTTTTATTCTAAGATATACTTATCGTAAAAGTAAAATTGCTTTTTTTTCTCGTTCATAAGCACCAGTAGATTCTGATGTTCTTATTCCTAGATAGAATACATCACAAACTGAAAATTTTAAAACAAAATACTCTCACGAAAACCTATCTCTGAAAAAATTTATTGAGATAGTGCAAGTCAATGTATTTAAAAAAAAGTAAAACATAATAGTAGGCGAAATTTATGTCATAATTCCTTAAGATCTATATAATGCATAAAATTTCAACTCTAAAGCGATTTAGTACTAAAAACCTTTGCTTCACTAGCAGAAATTGGAGCCCAGGTAATAAAAAAAGAAAGTTGTTGAATTTAATTTATATGAATATCACCTGCAGCAAAAGATCGAAATATTTATAACGATTTCCGATTTAATGAAGAAAATAAAAAAACGTCTGCAGTTAGAAACATTAAAAAAAATTACAAGAAATAGTCGGTAGATCCGAATAATAATTATTTATTAAAATAGTTTTATTTTGATATAAAGCAAATGATACATTGGATCTCTCTCAATTAACAATTGACGGTTTAAAAAAAGAAGTAGAAGTATCAAAAGAATTGCGATCGAATCAAGGTGCCACAATAACGTATCGAATTGAGGAGATAAGAAAATTAGTAAGTTTAATCTTCAAGAAATTCAGTAACTAACAGTTAACTTAGTCCTCATGTCGTACGACTACTGGACAACGCTTGCATACAATAGGTTCGATGATTCAGCTGTGGTATAGAATTATGCTATGATCCCAAGCGATTGGATAGTAATGTGCATGTAGGCACAACATCCATTTGTTGGGTAGATGAAATCATTTTTTGCTTTTAGTTTAGTTTTTCTGCACATAATACTATTTAACATCGGTAAAGACTTGTCTCTGTTCAATAAAAGAAAATATAGATTACTATTAGTTGTTGATATTAAATAAGTTTATAAACAAATTTGATTAGATGAATATTTCTCTCGGTCTTATTGATGGGAGAGCAAAGGAGTTTTTTTAAGAGTTGTTTAAGTCCGATAAGCTGCAATCTGACTGAGTATAATGTTCAATCTTTCATAAAATGCAAAAATATCTTCAAATTCTTAGGTGAAGTTGCGGTATCTTGGTCTTATACTCACATTGAAACATGAATAGTTATCAAAAATATCATAAAACAACGCTTTTGTTTTCTATTCTATTAAGCAGTTAACTGGATTTTATTAGATAAAGTAACGGGTGATCGAAAAGTTTTTGCACAAAACAAATTTCCATATTTCTCCTGTTGAATAAATGTTTATTTTATAAGTTTTCCACATGAAATACACAAGATATAAACCTACACTAATATGCATTCAAACAAGAGAAAACGGCCCTTTATCTTCTATCTTTCTTAATTTTGTTCGTATACTCATCATCATATGTTGGACAACATTCATATCGATTTCTTTTATCTTCTGATAAATTCTTCTTTTCAATTGTAATTCTGTTTTTGATTCCCAACCTCCCTCGTATACTTTGCCAGCAAGAATTGACCAGAAGTCTTCTATTGGTCGAGCTTGTGGAACATTTGGTGGATTATCTTGTTTTGGTACAAATTTTATGTTTTGTTCATGAAGCCATCGTGTTGTTTTATTTGCATAGTGAGACGATGCTAGATCAGGCCAAAATATATATTCATCACCAGCATGATATTCTTCAATAAACGAACGAAGTTTGCTTAAACATTTATTAACGTAAATGTCTGCAGTAATGGCTGGACCTTTTGTACTACCAATATAAGGTGTCGATATACCTTTGGCTGACAACGCCAACCAAACTAAAACCTTTTTTGGATATTTCTCTTTCGTTTTAAATTTCACATTATCAGGAACATCTTCTTTGCCAAAAGCGTAAAAACCAACATTTTGTGGCATATCATCATTAGAGAAGGTAAAATATTTTTCATCATCGACGATAATGAAAGTGTTGGATGTTAACATTTGGCGCCTCATTTTTCGGCACTTTTTTGGTATTTGTTCAACTTGATTTTCACTATACTTTGGCGCCTTCTGACGTTTATAATGTTTAAGACCAAGTTTCTTCAAATTATAATGAATAGTTGATTGAGCAACACCAAATTTTCTTCCTAATTTTCGTTGACTAACTCCAATACAATTTATAGCAGCATTCTGTAAACGTTTCAGGTTTTTTCTTTTGAAAGATGTTGGACGACCGCTTCTTGGCAAGTCTTCGACTGGCAGATCCATTTCATAACGTTTTATTATATTATAAAGTGTTCGCCTTTTAAAACCTTCTTGAACAAAATGTTTTACTATATCATTATTTTTCAAATTAGTATTTTGTCCAAGCATCGAGTATACACGTTTGCGAAGATCAGTCATTTTTACAAATATCGAACAATCGAAAAACTTGAAACTAGTAGCGCATAGAGGACATATGTTGAGCTATGTAACCAATAGAAAAATTTTATTCTAACAGCTTTAGTAGATGTATGGGGATATTCAACATTTTGTGCAAAAACTTTTCGATCACCCGTTACAAAAGCTTTTCTAAAACTTGCTGGGGTGTGCGAGTGTAGGATGTGAGCTGCAATATGAGTCGCCTGTAAAAATTCAGTGTCCTTTACCTACCATCAATACCCACAACTGTAAGGGAGTCATTGAGCTGAAATTGCTTTCATGGAAGACACAAATGATATCAATGATCTATGTTTCATGTGTTCTTTTAGTAGAGTGCAAAATAGACAGTATGCGTTATAAGTATCATCCAATCAGCTTAATATTTCGTCGTATTTAGCATGATTGAAATTTGTTCTATATCCGATTGAATTTTATTGGAGTGAGACTATAAATCTACAGAGTAGTTCAGAAATATTGATAATATGAGAACGATTTTGATTCTTCTACTCGGCGTTCAAGAAAACGCGTAGATATTAGAGCCCACCGGATCCAAGATTTTTCGATTTGAATCCTGTCAAACTGCAGCCTTATATTGTTAGTAAAATATTCTAATCAGAATTCGACAGTCACTTCGAACACATAGGACGCTTCTAAAGCCCAGGGGGCTCTATTAGCTGGTGAAAGTTTGGTTTCAATTGTTTTTATCTCGATTTTTACCAAGTTTTCGCAGACAGAGTCAACAATACGACATTCTTCGATCGCTCGGCGAAAATCGGTGTGTTTGCACAGCGTATTTTTTTACTTTCTGCGCAACAAAAATAAAAAATAAAGAGAACACGATGATTTTCATCGAGTATTTGTAGTTATTTTTTTCTCACATAAAACAACATACATTTCGAATAATGCCATGATATTTTTTGCAAGATTCTTTTATACTAAAGAATGCTTTGCAAGCAGCTTTATACGAGTCAAAGAAAAATTTGGCACATGGAATAATATATTTTCGATGTTCGGAGAATTTTGGAGTAACAAACTTTTTCTTTACTCATATTCGGAACGATGTTGGCTCCTGCTTACTTACTAAATTGCCTACAGGCAAAACCGACTGAGACAAAAATCAATCTAGAGGTGAGTTTTGCAATCATTCAAAAACTAGAATTGCGCCTTTGAAACTTGATGAGAAGAAAATGAACTAAATAGGTAGTGAATAAAAAGCTGTAGCAGCGATCACTGAGGCTATCAAAAACGCGAAAAAATTGGACAGATATTGATTAGCAAGTTTTTACTTCATAATTCACTATCGATAATTTTGAAAGAATCTAGATAAATACATTTTTCGAATATTTGGATCTCTCTTTAATTAAATGCTACGTATGGATGCGAATTTCGTGTAAATGCCATGGACTTTTGCGATTGTCCAGATTGTGGAAAAGACATTCGTCCTAAGTGTGTAACTCAGCGAATAGAAACTTGTATGACATCATCTGTTGTGAGTCTTTCTATTCACATATATCATATGCTTTTTCTTCTTGTATATTATGTGTAACTATTAATAATTCTAAGTGGATTGTGATAATATTTTTCTACATTTTCCCATGATTGTTTGTGTTGTTAAAAACGAAGTATTGCTATTACTTTTAATTGTTGGAAGATTGGGATATATAGAAAGATATTTTAAATTGTTATTGGATGAAACAATTTGTGCTAATTCAATAAGAAACGTTAAATGGAGGAACGTATTCCCTTCGAATCACACTATTAAACTTGTTAAATTTTTGAATTGAGATATGAGAAGAAATTTCAATATGCTAATCATTCCTTTAGAACTGCCATCATATAGATACAATATCTTTAGGTTTGGTGTTGCACTTAATACTTGAAGACAAAATTCTACTAAATGGCGCAGTTTAAATGGGATTCGAAATTCCCATTTGGTGTTTACATTTATGCGTTCAACTGACGCTACATCACTATGAAATAGACCAGAATCTTCGATATGTTGTAATCGTCGTCTCCCATGGCTTGTGAAACTGATGGGTCGAAATTGTGGACTAAAAATTTCGTAAGTATTGTCCGGCAGTTTTTTTCTTAGATTGATTCAAACCCGTTGGGTATTGATTTGTACGAATCAAATATTGAAGTGAAGTAATGTTAATAACTTAAATTCTTGTTGGAATAATAATAAAAATTCCATAATCTCTTTATATTTTGAACTGAACCTTTCAGCAGACTGGCCTTTTACTACTGATTCTAAATGTATTTTAGTTAATGATGTAGGAACCACGTTGATGATTATGTGTACAAAAGATATATTTAATTCATTGACGTTAATCATTGTCGGTGAAAAAGAAAAAATATTCTCAAACCAAAATACATCAATTGTTAACGACTGTAGATTTGACGTCGTCATCTGCGCTATTCGCTTAACAGTAGCTGTTTTATCAAATTTGCCCTCTCTATAGTCTGTATAGATCGTTCGTCATATACAGAATCGTTAAATTCCACTGACACTAATGTTAAATGTGTTAAGTTTGTTGATAAGTAACGATTTAATATAATCTGTTCGAGTGTTTGACATGTATCAAAATATACGAAAAGACGAAGTTCTGTCAAATTTATACAGAATTCTGCTGATAATCGTTCAAAGTGAAAGCCAATACGCACAGGTGACCGATCTTCATCATCAAGCGAAATCGTATCATATGTGCTAGGGCTACGATCATCAATTAATGTTAAATATCGTAAATTTTTTTGTAATTGAAAAACTGATTTTATCTTATTTAATGTCTTCTGGTATGGTTGTTCTTTATTCTTATTCAATTTCAATGAACGATGAGTTGGTATTGCTTTCGACGCTGGTGTCTGCTGTTCGAAAAATTCATTAAATAAATATAATTGGCATTGATCTTTCAGTGACAATAAATGAATTTGATTTTCAACGTATGGAGAAATGCGTTCAAAAAATTGCTAAAACAATTTATACGAAATATCACTTAGATTGATATGACTGATAAACGGCGCAATCAGTCGCTGCGAAAACATATATTTAGCTTTCGAAACGAATAGAGTATTTCTATGTCATGTAAGTGCGTAAACACTTGTAGTCATACTCCATTTGGTAATTGCTCCATGCTCTTTGTAATGAACTCTTTAAACGATTACGAAATAAAGAGTATACTAATAAATTCAATGAAACAGATTTATCTTCTTTTTCTTTCTTCACATTAATGTTGGCTATCGTTATCTCTCCGAGAGAAGTGTGATAACGACAGGATTTTTTCATACAAACTGTTGAATGAATGATATCCTCGGTTTCGATCTTTCTACCCACTCAAATATAAACGTCTCCATTCATACCCATATACCTAGCAAATACTGTTTTTTTTTAATTGTTAGCTTGATGTTGAAAACTTTGATTTGATCTGAATATTTCTAAACCATTCGTTAACAACATAAACATCTTGAATGCCAGTCAACATTGTTAAACTAAGAAAACACCGTACGATAAGAAACTGCAAAGCGACATATTTCTCAATACATCATGGAATGTTTTATTTGATAGGTGCAAACATAATTTCCCAGGTGAATGCAGAAATAGATGTTGTTTTGTGTTTACACGGTACTAATGGCCATATATAAGTAGAGAGGAATGCTCGCAGCGAATATTTGTTAAGTTGATCGAAATTTAGATCAGTCATGTGCTGTAGAGACAATTTCTTTCTTTTTGCCTACGCGCAAAGTTGGAAAAAGCCGTTTTTTGAGTGAGGAAGTATGGATCATTTTCTATTTTCTGATCGATTTGGTTCTTGCCCACAAGTAAATTGAATAGAGTGCACTACGGTATATAAGACATTCACTATGCGTAAATAAAAACTTACATTTATTTATTCCATGCGGATCGATAAATATGTGGTGCTGTTTGTGGACAAAGTAAGGTTAGGCGGTACCGGAATCAAATAAATATCATTAAATAAATATTCGTAAGGGAAATGAAAATTAATCCCGATAAAAGACATTCTTTTATAAAAGTATGAATTATATGAGTACGGACACCAACACCATCTAGAACGCAATTACTTGTTGGTATTTTACAACAAACATTCTTTTAACTGTTCTGTCCTGCTCGTTCTTTTCTTCCTCCTTACTCACTACACGTGATTCTGCTGTATTTTGCTTCTCTAACTTGGAAATTTCCAATTGATATAAATGAGAAGGGCGAACAAGCCATTTTGCGGCCCACCTCAAATTTGAATTATTTCAACCAGCTATTAATCACGAATCGTTTTCAATCATTTTTTGTGGAACTCACGTATATTTTTGAAGAAAATAGTAAGTGTAAACTTAAGGGACAGAATTTTGCGGCTCCCCACCCTCCCCTCCCCTTACAGACATACCAATTACAGACATGCCCACCATTGCAGACATTAAAAGCTAATTATTAGTTAGAATAAAAAGTTTTAAAAATGAGGAAAAAACGAAAAACTAGGGAAAACGCGAAAGAAAAAAGGGAACCAACCAAAATACAATAATCTTTTGAAAATGTAAAAATAAATGAGAGATTTTGCTGTGATGATCAATTATTTTGAAAAATCAGTAGTATGAGAAATTTTTCATTTTACTCATTTTTATTGGTTTATCGAGGCTTCAAGGATATACGTGAGTTCCACATTTTAGCCTCAAAGGGGCTGCGCTGAATAGTTTTTTCAACTTTGTTTCCCGAAATACGACACTGTCGATTTTTTTGCCTGGGGTACCCACAGGTATCATCGAAAACAAAATTTTTTTTTACACGAGCCAAAGCCAGATGTAATTGTAAATTTAAGGATACTGATTGTGAATATCGTAATTAGAAGTCTCAAAGCTACTTTACTTCCGTAGTAGTCGTCACCACTCTTTTGATCCTATTTTTCATTGTTGGGACTGTTATACATTAGCATTTGTTTATAAATTAAGTACAAAATAGATTTACTAACCGAAAATGTTGAGTTCTTCACGAATCTGAACCTTTGACGCCGCAAAAAGGACCGCTTAGGAAAATGAGATAACGATTCGGTAGGAAAAATTGATCTTTTTTTAATATATCATTTTTGCTCTTAATAGTTTGCTATGAAGCGAGCCTTGCCGCAACGTCAACATTTGATCGTAAGTGTAACTTTTCAAGCTCTATCGACTGGAGACCTTAAAAAGTATTAGAAAAGTTGCGCAACAGGGTGAAAAATTAAGAATATTAATAATTTCTATAAAATTGCCTTAGGGGACCATGCCACTAAAATATATAAGATCTTGAAATCAACTGATATATAGCCCATTTTACAGCGCTTAATCAGCTGTGCATACAGTAGAAAAATTATGGATCTCCACTCTTTCTTTCGATTTAAAAAATGATGTGAAGTTGTGCATCCTTGCAGCGACTCGTGCATTTTGTGAAGCGAATTTGTGAGTCGAAACAAAGAGTGGAGATCCATCATTTTTTTACTGCGCGTACAGTTCATTAAGCTGTACAAGATGAACTATATATATATATATCTGTTGATTTCATAATCTTATATATTTTAGTGGCGGTGGTCCCCTACAGCAATTTTACAGCAATCATTAATATTCTTAACTTTTCACCCTGTTACACAACTTTTCTATTGTTTTTGCTGTCTCCAGTCGATAGAGCTTGAAAACTATACTCATGATCAAAATTTGACGTTGCAGCAAAACTTTCTTCATTATCTAGGTAGACAAATATGATGAGAAGGGTTCAAATTTTGCCCCGGGATCCCTGTACTTTTCCCGCCCGTTAAAGTTTTTCGATTTAAAAGGTTCAGATTCGAAGAGAACTCAAAATTATGAGTTAGAGGAAATTATTTTGCACCCAATTTCATCGCGTGGTTATTCGATGAGGAATCAAATAACGAAAAATAGGATCAAACGAGTGGTGGCGACTACTTTGGAAGCAAAGTAGCTTTGAGACTTCTAATTACGATATTCGCAATCAGTATCCTTAAATCTACAATTACATTTGGATTTGACTCGTGAAAAAAACAAATTTCGTTTTCGATGATACCTGTGGGTACCCCAGGCAAAAAAATCGTCAATGTCGTATTTCGGGAATGCAAAGTCGGAAAAAGTGATCGAGAACGATCTCTGGTTAATAGCTGATAAAAATAATTCAAATTTGAGGGGGACCGCACAATAGCTTTATCCGCCCTCGTCCTTTCCAGATTGTGTCATCCAGAAAGTAATCGACCAACCTATGAATCGGATAGATGCATTGGATATAAAAGCATTGGAACATCTTAAGTATGTATGCCGTTCATTTTACACACTGTAAAAAAAAAGAACTTTACCGAACCCCCCCCCCCCCAACATGGTGCNNNNCCCCCCCCCCCCCAAGAAGGTTCGATAGATTTGAAAAAGCTTGCAAAGTTTCGTATTTGCCTACAAAACCTTCTTTTTGCTCTGCGGAACTTAAAAAGTTTTCGAAGAAAAAAGGATCTGATTGAGGGTACGCGGTCAGACCCTTTAAAGGTTCCGCGTATTTTTTTATTCTTTTTTTGAAACTTTCAACACATTTGCAAGCTTTTTGTCATCTGCCGAACCTTCTTTTTTAGGTTTTGTACAGTTCTTTTTTTTTTCAGTGCATGAGAACGATATCACACGAACAAATTAAAAGAAATCATCTATTCACTGAAATGTTTGATACGCTTTCTTGATTTGAAAGAATAGACAAAACTAGGAGTGTCGCGCTCGCGTTCCGTTCCTGAGAACGGGAACGGGAACGCTAGGAACAGGGAACTCTGACACCCCTAAACAAGACAGTGACTTTCGGAGTGCTTAAAAAAATTAAACTCTTTTGCTAAAGTAAAATGGTCTCTGCACTCTGCTTAACAGCGTCACCACTAGATCGATAATATACTGATCATACTTTTGAAAGTTAGTCCATCTTCTATTTACTTGACTTCGTACAGCTTCAGTCTTCGCTAAATGCATTCACTCATAATGAGCGTTTGAACTTTGGAGGGTGTAAGCTATGTTTCAAATAAGCATGTTCGAAAAATTAAAGGTTCATCATACGTTTATATTTTGTATTTATTTTTCGTCTTCTCAACTAAGCAGAATACTTTTAAGTGCTCGAATATTGTGGGGGTGGGAGGGTGTTACACCCCTGGTCGTGTCACCCCTGGCCACTATTAATTACTTTTTCTCACGTCTCGTTATTTGATTTGAAAAAATAAATCCCTATAAAAAAATATATGTTCATTAGAATTTTAGATGAAATTATATTTGAAAGAAATTATTACGATCACTGAGTAAAATATTTGTCGCTACCTGCAAACAATAACAATCAATATGAGAGATACACTAAATGAACAATGGAATTCATCTGAACAGTTATTGAGTAATAGAATACAAGTCTTCAACCATGTCACGGACTGCGAAACATTAAAACAAGCACACGGCACTGATGCTGAGCAATACCTCTCTAATTACAAGATGCAAAGTATCAAGAGCCAAGCATGTAGAAAAACAAATGTGGCTGACGCTCTATCGACTATTCAAACGACTATTTATGACTATGGAAAAATACAATACCATAAGTGTACATCAAATTGGAACAAGCCTAGATTGAGGGAAATTAATGGAATACAGAAAGCTTTAGGGACATGCATAAATATTAGCAGGAAGCAAGGTGTTCACTCTGTCATTGCTTTAGAAGCAGCTGGATTGCACTATACCAATGTTGGGGATACTACTCGTTGCGACCGATGCCAATTAGAAGTAACCGGTTGGACACTGGATATGCACCCGTTTAAAGTTCATGCAGATCTTAGACCAAATTGTGAATTCGTTAAAAAATTAAAACCATTGGCAGAATTTCAGCACTCCAATGCACTGCAAACTGAAGCAACTTGTGCTACTCTATCTGTTACAAACGCAAGTGGTTTAGAGAAGCCTTCGAAACGTCAAAAAGTAGAAGTTATGAATCGGGACATAATTGCACCAGCTTTGATTGAGGTAGATATGATAAAACAAATACGTCGGCGAACTTTTTCACATTGGATGCATCGAAATTCTCCAATACAAGCACAAATTATTGAAGCTGGATTTTTTAATTGTAATGTTGGCGATCGAGTGATTTGTATTTATTGTGATCTTGTTTGTCAGCAGTGGACGCCACATACAGACGATCCATGTGAAGTGCACAGAGTACTTTCGCCTAGATGTCCTTTCGTAGTGAACATGTTAATGCGCCGTGAAGCTGTATCACTTTCAATCATTAATCAAAACTCGGAAGCCAATGGAACATCAGCACCTACTGCTTCCGATGCATTTCACTCACATGAGATAGTCCGTGCCGTTGCTTGCAACTCATACTATCTAGAGATTCCAAAGCGTTATCAATCATTTGCTACATGGCCTAACGATCCACTTCCTTCAGCTGATGATCTTGTTCGTGCTGGGTTCTACTACACGGGTACTGGAACGATAGTTACTTGTTTCTTTTGTAATGGTTCGCTACAGAATTGGGGTGTGAAAGATAATCCAGCCATAGAGCATGCTCGGTGGTTTCCCCATTGCGGATATGCTAAACAACTCTGCGGAGAAGATCTCTATCGAAAAATTCAAGAATCAAAACGGAGTTCACAAGGTTTGTTCTAGGAGCCTGTTTGCGTGCTAGAGACAATGATTGAATGACTGTGTTATGTTGTTTTTAGAGCGTACTAGATCCATCCAGTCACCCACTAATCCTACTGGTAGTGTCCAAAAATTGCAGATATCCGATGAAGCTACATTGTCACGTTTCGTTGCGGCACGTCTCGATTTACCCGTATCACAAAAGTTGATCCTTGTTCATAATTATAAATTATCAATCGTTAAACGTTGCTGGGAAGATCAGTTACGATTGAAATGTATGTAAAAGACAAAGCTGATAATGTTCTCGAAAAACTCAACTACTATCTTCCATAAATATTTTCTTTTAGTGGATGATTTCTATACTGATTGTGATCTAATGATGGCTTGTACTATTTTACAGAAGCAAATCAGTTCTATCAATGGCAATAAAGAGAAAATCATAGTGCCCAGTGTCAAAATGCGACAGATACGAGAAAAATTGCAATCAGGTATTGTTTATAAAAAGAAAGAATCACTTTACAAAATAGAAATCTCTCCTTTTCTCCGTCATGAACGTCAGAATTAAGCTAACATCTACTTACTAATCTAGTCAAGTAAATAGACATAAAAACCATCGCATACTTCTAATCGTTTCATACTTTAATATTATAAAGCAAACTTATTTTTGAAAAAGAAGTATTTCGCATCTATAAGTTAGTTACTGTGTCATAGAGCTAAAATAGAATTTATATTGTACACTTTTTATACGATTTATCTTATATAGAAATTGTTTCTTCACAACCATCAATTCCGGCTTCTTCCGCAGTAATCTCGATCAATTCATCAAATACTTCAGATGTTGACATGACCACTGTATCGCAATCATCTGTTACTCAAGCAAATGTGAAAATACCTACCAATCAAGTCGTTGGTGAGACAAAAATATCTCAGAAAACTTCAACGGCGAATAGTGTTCAATCTATTCAATTGGACAACACAGATTCAAAAAACACATGCGCACTTTGCATGACCGAAGAAAAGAGTCTCGCTTGTATTCCATGTGGACATCTCTCAACATGTGTTGCATGCGGTCATTCAGTGCGATCATGTCCAATATGTCGGCAGAAAATAGAAGCATACGTTCGCGTATATATTTAAGCTATCATCACTCCCAAACATGTGTTCAATATGATCACCAAAAATGGCATCTTAAAAGAGAAATCAATACGGCATATCCACTGTGACCCGCAATGTTATTTTATCATGAAGAGAAAACTGTTTTGTATTTAATGTGAATTTTCTATTGTTTTCTATAAAACCATACACGTACAAGAAATTACCTAGCCTACACTGTAAAAAAGATCCGCAGAATAATAAACGGAGAAAACGTTTTTGATGGGGTATTTAATAAAAAAAAAGGGTTTATGAAAGTGCAACGTGTAGCAAACCGTTTTCAACGGTTTATCAAGAAGTGATAAACTCTGTTATAAACCCTGTAAAAAGGGTTTAATACGGAGTTTATCAACGTTAAATATTCTTTCTGGAAGATTTATTGAAGAGTTGATAAGATTCATAAGTTCTTAAAGGGATTGCGACACATTGCACTTTCATAAACCCCTGAAAAGGGTTGATAATTAGCATAAACGTTCTTATATAACCTTCGAAATTCAGTCTAAAAAAGGTTTGATTAAAATACTATACCCGTGAGTCCCTCTCATAAACGATATTGGAAAGCGTTTATGAGTATCATGAATGGTCGACAGCGTTTGTGATAGAGTATATGAAACTGACTATTAACCTCATCAACTGCCTCAAGGGTTTATGATAAAATATATGAAGGCGATTCTTGACCTCAAGTATCATTTTCAGGGAGAATATTAGGATATATAGAGTGATTCAAGAGTACAATGAACTACTGCCAGTGGTCAGAGAATAACTGAATACATGATTTTTTCATCTTGGTTGATGATAGACACATGTCTACGAAGAGAGATATGCTGAATTAATTTGTAGCTTTTATCATTATATGTATCTAACACTCGCTCTCTATGACATTCTATAATAATTAACAAGAGAATGCTAGACTCCCCAAGACTGGAAGAAACCATATCTGTTATTTTCTCTTCGTTTTGAGCTTCATATTTGTCGAAACTCTTACTCGATCTTGTCTTAAAATCCAATACTCACTCAGTGAGAAACGAGCGAAACTAGAAAACCTGGAGATAATTCGACCTAGAGTCGAAATCAAGATGATTAAAAGGAATTGTACGAATCTCTTTCTAAGAGTGACTAATCAATAAAAACAGGATAGCTGAATCACTATAAAACTGAGGAGTGTGTAACTTGGAGGAATGGTCTTAAGTGGTTGCTTCAGATGAATTCTCTGTGATGTCACACGAAAACATTTACTCACTTCAATTGACGTTGGCCGCTTCCAATATTCTCACATAAGATATTAAACAAATAGCACTTGTAATTCAGCACATCTTGTATTTACTTTGAAGATTTTGTTTGATGAAACCTAAACATAAAAGCGTGAGTTATTAATAGATGACGATTTTCTCTTAGCACAACTCTGATTAAATTGAAAACTTACTAGAAATCAGTACATTGCAGCTACCAATTGACAACAATCGCTGACGTGCATTGTGGAACGCATCTGAAAGTTCAACGTAACTGCCACTCACCCATAAACGAAACCTTTCTATTGAATCCATGATCGTAATTTCATTAATCGATAAAAAAAATCAAACCCAAAGATCTAAAGGAAAAATTATTAAAAAGTGAGCAAGAATCGAATATTAATAACATATTATAAAGCACTCAAGTTATCAAGTATCTAGTCTGAATATAAAAAAGGTGTGCACGTTCATCGACACTTAAATTTTACAAAAAAATGCCAAGCTCAACTACACAATGCTACTGCTCCTTCGCTGAGAAACTTTAGTAGAAACACTCTCCTCATTGATACGACGGCTACTTATCATCAAAAACGATACACAGAACCCATCCAATCCATCGTTTCTTTCTTTTCTTCACCCAAATCAACGCATCACATATGAAAAATAACGTCAGCATCTTACGAAATAGTATATAGCTTCTCTAAAACAAAAAGCAGTTTAACTAGAAAAAAATATACTCATCTTATTCTAGTTCAGAGCAAGTAGTATCATTCTGCAGTTATCGACTATAGAGTACAACTAGTTGGTCAAATTTTACAGTTTTGTTCACTACTCTATTAGTATCAAACGGGGAAAACTCCGTCGCCTTAAAGAAACACACGCGCGTCTATACTTTTCTTAGGAATCAAACATAATCTCATAAAAGAACTGACGGTTCACCTTCAATCGATTAGAGAAAGCACTGATGTCGACTGATTAGTTGTGACTGTAGATATTCTCATGGTGATTTACAAAATTTACTTTCTTTGAATCGATAGATTAAATTAAAATATAAAGGAATTTTTTCACCTAGGAATACAGCCTTCCGCTTATTTTTCGAAATGAATGAAACGAAATGAAATGAAACATCATGCATATACTTTCTTTTCTTTCTCTTTCTCCTTTCTTCTTTGATTTTTTTCTACTGAATTCTCTTCTCTTCTTTGATATTATTTTTCTTCTACTCACACACACATACATATATATATATATATATATAGAAGAGCGTTTGTGGTAAAAAGAGAGAGAGAATTATTATTGTTCTTTAATAAAAGAAAACGAAAATAAAGACAGGTTTCTTGACCTTGATAAACTGTAACAGTCGGAGAAATCTTTGATAAACAATTCGTTGGGAGTGAGCACATATTCATACTAGTTTTTGTACGTTCGCTTGTTTATCTAAATAAATAGAACGATTAAATGAAAATAAAACCTTTAATGTACAAAAAACCTTCACATAATTTTTAAAATATGTGAAGAACGAAAATAAAATGAATAATGCGACGTAACTTTAAGTACGTCGATTAAACCATTCAAATGAGCCAACTGATTGAGAATAAGCTCATCTTCGTAACATTTTCCAAAGTTCTGCTTATTTATCTCTAGATAAATAAAACGACCTATAAAAAGGAGATTTTATCATATACGAAAGGGTCGTTGAAATGACTTTTTGGATATGTAAAATTCATACTTAACTTTCATTCAATTATTAAAAAATTGGCGCGAAGTCGTTGATTCAAAATGAGCACACGCTCACACAAGTTCCGAAAAACTCGTGTTTACCTAGATAAATAAAGTGATTGAATGGAAATATATCACTTCATCAAGAAAAAAGCTGTTAGCGCAATCCCTGTGGGATTAAAATGTGAAACACGATAAAGCTCGTTTTCTGGCATCCGTCTACCACGGTCTGTGATGGTCTGTGGAGCTTCTCCGTCACGGTCTGTATCTTTATTATGGTGTTTGAAGTCTCTAGAGACCATCGCAGACCGTTGCACAGACTTTAAAAACCATCACAGACCGTGACAGAGAAATTAATAAATTAATCAGCTAATTAATTAATTAATTTCTCTGTCCCTGTCTGTGGGGGGG